GATCTCTTCTTTTGAGATGTTGGATTAGTAACTCCCTCTATGTCCACTGTATTATTGTATTTATTTGTTTATTGATTGATTGATTATTTTTTTGTTTATTTATTTATTTTTTTTTTTGGAGGAGCTGGCTTGAAAGGAGAGCATAGATATGAACCAGTAATTCAAAGAAAGGTCATACAGTAGAAGATTTCACATTTCCCTACCCTCGCCAGGTTGACCTCCTCAGTGACAGTGAATATGGCTACTACACCTTCATTACCGTGCAGATCCTGTGGGAGTACCTGCCCACACTTGCCTCTGTTGTCTTCTTCAGGGTCAAGAAGCCCATGGTAAGTCTTTAGTCTTAAGATGTGGCTGTGCACTTACCAGTTTTAGGGAAGGGAAGGTAAAGGTATGCATGACCTGGATATGACTGCAACATGAAAGTGGTTTGTAATTGGTGACTGTGGCACAAAATAGGGCCATGTACAATATATTAGTAGATGGATAACTTTCCTTTTTATTATTTAACATTGTGTACTTATTCCTTACTATTCATGCACTTATCATGTATATGTAATGTTTGGGTTTAACCCAATTTTTTTTTGTCAGTGGCCACTTGGTCTGCCAGGTGGCACATATCTGCGTGGGTCTGACACGTGCTCTGGGATTATTCTCTCGTTACACTTGCTTCAGTGGCTCTCTTCCTGGCTGCTCACTGAGATTTGAGGAACATGATTGCTTTGATAACTTTGAGGAATGTGATTGCTTTGATAACTTTAATATGTATTCAGTTTTATGTGTTTTTAAATTTTCAAATGCTCACTGTTGCCAACTTCTTGACTTGAAATGATAGTGAATACTCCATATGAGCTGATCATAGAGTGTTTTTGACTGTGAAGTGAAGAATCAATAGTTTAGTGGGCCATCAAAAAAGAATTCAATAATTTTCTTTATTCAAAGGTGAATTACATAATTTCCTTTGTATGAAATGGCTTTAACCCAATGCTGACGGGTGAAGAAAATCTAAGCTCTAAGCTCTCCGGCACGTTGCCATGCCGTACAGCTGTACCCTGCAGACTGAGTGGTTTGTTTTAATGCCAGTAGGCGTGGCCCGTCAATAAGGGAATATAAATATACATATATGTACAAAACAATGTAATTATATACTACTATGAGCCTCGGTACTTCTTTGTATGATAGTCCTCAAAGCAACCATAGCTGCATAGAGCAACATCGCATTGCTTGCACGTGATCTTCACCATTCTTCTTGTCCTACTCCTGTAGCAGAAGTGGCAATGGCAGCATTTCTCTAATCTCATAGGGAAATGTTTGTGCTGGACCAGCCATGATACTCTTCATGGGTGGCTGATGATGTAAAGAGATACCTGAGGAAGAGACTCCCTCAGGAGCCCCTTTGTGATTGCAATATATTAATCACATTGCAGTTGGGTGGGATTGCCAGTGTATTTCTATAATAAAAAGTTTCTATTTCAACAAGGCAAAAAATACCTTTTTGTACCATTTCATTGTGTTTCTACAGGGGTATGACTGGGAGAGTTGGTCCCCCACATCAACCTCCTTCATTCTGATGTTGTCAAGCACTGCAGCTGGCTTCTGTTTAACATTTCCATTCAGTGCTAAGCTATCTTATTTGTGTGGATTGTTGAGAACATGTGGATGGTGCATTTGTCTTCTCACTTCAAGCACAAGGCTGGTAGAAGTGCTCCTCCTATGCATTTCATAGTATTTGAGCCTAATGGGAAGTCTGATGGCATAAAGTTTCTGTTGTCCCTCTTGGTCCCATCATCCTGAAGCCACCTTGGCTGTTCTTCCAGCAGCCTTCCTGACGCAGAAAGATCGTTATTGTCTGAGTTGTCATCTCCAGAGGAGTTATGACCAGGAGCTGGCTGGTGCCTTATGCTTGATGGAAAGGATGCAGGGGAAATGCCTGAATGTTCTTGGCAAGGGATCTCGGCTAATTGATCCTGGGGTCAATGATCTCTCTTTTTATACTTGCCTGACATCACTGAAAAGTGATGCACATTTGCACAAACATGACATCATATTCACAACTTGTATGCCATGTCGCATTAATGATGAAAAGGGTATTATTTTCCTATTCACCATATGACAAATGGAAAGTTAGTGTACTGAAAAGTACTTAAGTAGGAAATGGGGAAAAAAATCTGTGACCATATCAATCACACAACCCGAGGCTAAGTTTCTACACACACAAATGCACTTATACAAATGTACAGATGCATGCAAATATGCACACACTCACATTCACACTCACACTCACACTCACACTTACACTCACACTCACACTCACACTCACACTCACAGACAGGAGAGGGAGAGAGGAAGGGAGTGAGAGAGAGAGGTAGGGAGTGAGAGAGAGAGGTAGGGAGTGAGAGAGAGAGGTAGGGAGTGAGGGAGAGAGCTAGGGAGTGAGGGAGAGAGGTAGGGAGTGAGGGAGAGAGGTAGGGTGTGAGGGAGAGAGGTAAGGAGTGAGGGAGAGAGATAGGGAGTGAGAGAGAGAGTGAATGAGAGAGTAAGGGAGAGAGTGAGTGAGGGAGTAAGGGAGAGAATGAGTGAGAGAGTAAGGGAGAGAGTGAGTGAGAGAGTAAGGGAGAGATTGAGTGAGTGAGTAAGAGAGAGAGTGAGTGAGAGATAAGGGAGAGAGTGAGTGAGAGAGTAAGGGAGAGAGTGAGTGAGTGAGTGAGAGTAAGGGAGAGAGAGAGAGAGAGAGAGTAAGGGAGAGAGAGAGAAAGAGTTTTTTTTTACAACATATTTTGAGGTGAGGGGTGAAAATGATGCCAGCTGTGAATGGAGCCCAAACTGCCATGGCATATTTAAGGTTGCCACCCACCATTTACGCCTAGCTCTGTCATGGCATAATACTAGAAACCAACCACGGTATAAGGGTTACGGATGATATACTGTAAGTAAATGGTTATAACAAGAATGGTAAAAATCAACAGAAACAATGTAGATCAGTCACCTTTGCAAGTCATGAAACCACCTCCTCCTTTTTCCCTACAGCTGCTGTCTTACCCTCCTATTCTGGAGCCTTTGTCCCGGTCGGCAGGAATGCGTGCCAGTGAGAGCGAGGAAGACGGAGGATTCTCCAATCACTACCTACACCCACAGTGAGCATTTTGTTTGTTAGGAAGTCATTGCAGTAGTTTTGTGTGACTTTATATGTATATGTATATGTATATGTGTATATATATATACATATAGTATATATATATATATATATATATATATATATATATATATATATATATATATATATATATATAACATATATTATGTACACACACACACGCACACGCACACACACACACACGCACGCACGCACGCACGCACGCACGCACGCACGCACGCACGCACGCACGCACGCACGCACGCACGCACGCACGCACGCACGCACGCACGCACGCACGCACGCACTCACACACACACACACACACACACACACACACACACACACACACACACACACACACGTATTAAATTCCCTAGGGTCAGTGAATAGAAAAGTAAAGATGATGTGAGCCAATATGTGATACAGAAACATATATAGATTGTGCTAAAATGTGCCAATAAAAAAAAAAAAAAGTATCTAGGCCCTGGTGACTAATGACTTTGTCTCTTCCTCCAGCATATCATTCCAGCAGGCTTCGGACACCTGGTTTGGGAACTCAAGTGGAGGCTTAGTGGATTCCCACAACCTCTCCCCAACTCGAGGAGGCATACATCACAATGCAGCACACTCTCCGGCACACAGATTTCTGTACCGTTACATGGGCTACAGGAACTACACAGAGAGTCAGTAATCTTTTGGCGAGTATGACACGGAGGTGTTCGTGACTTTGGATCAAGCATTGAAGGCCCATTACCAAAACAATTTAAGACTGTAAGGTTGTAACACTTGCTGTAATTCTATTGTAGTGGAAGTTGCAGAAGCCAGGAAAGTATATTTCTGTGAGGGGAGTGAGTATCCTGTGTTTTAGGTAAAATTTCCACTCTGGTTCTGGTTAAGTAAAGCATTTAGTTCCCCTTTAATTTTATGAAAAAGTACACATAATAAGCTTGACTGAGAGTGAGAGTTGATACTTTAAAGGAGGATAGGAATGCAAGAGATGCTTGTGATGGTATATGTAAAAGAGTGTAAGTTTGAATTGCCAACTGGAAATAAATGAGTCACTATGTATGCATCATGTAGATCTGAATATGATTAAGTGGACAGTTAGGAAGTTATATAATGCTTTGACTATTATTTGAGTTTTGGTTGAATTATAGTGAAAATTTAGTCAAATATGTGAATAAAGCTTCCAATAGATCAACTTATTGCAAAGTATTCTCAATTAAATTACAAACATCAAAAATGAGAAGGAATTGAGTTTGTGCATCTTCTAGGGACAAGTTTTCACTGAATATGTGACATCAGATAATTAAAATTAGTATGAGAATGAGTGAATTGCATGTAAGATGAAGTTAGAATCATGTGGAAGAGGTTGATTGTGTGAAGCATACTGTGAGACTCACCAAAGCTGAGTGCACATCTATTTACAGAATATATTTTTTTGTTGTCCAGTGAGAGGGCAGTGTATCTGAATTATATTTTTTTAAATATTATAGATTTTTCTTTATTTCTATAATGTTTTCACTATATTTTTGGAGCTAATCTCTAATATCCAGTAGAGAAATTTGTCTGAAACTTCTATTTTTCGTATTTTCTATATAATTCAGTTTGTAATTGTCTTGCAAAACTTCAAGTATGTTTTGAAAATGGACCTTGCTATCTGTTGTTTTTAATGTACATTGAGGTAGCACACCATTCATTGAGTTTTCGTGTACAAGTTATGATAGACAGTGTGCAGAATTTGAACACAATGTCATGAATACATTATACACCCACAATAGACACTTGAGCTTCTTATGTTCATTGAGGGTCAGAATGAATATTGTGTGCCAGTTTAATTAGTTTGGTGGTTCCAACAGTTGGT